ATCCCAGGAGGTCATGGTTCGATTCCCAGTCAGGGCACATGCCCGGGTTGTGGGCTTGGTCCTGGATGGCGGCCATGCAGGAGGCAGCCGATCAATGATTCTCTCCCATCATTCATGTTTCTATCTCTCTCTCCCTCTCCCTCCCTCTCTGAAATCAATAAAAAAATATTAAAAAACAAACAAACAAAAAAACATAAAGCCTGGGTCTACCCCTAGCACACCTCATCCACTCGACTACAAGTTCTCAAACTGTTTGGTCTCAGGGTTCCTTTACACTCTTAAAGCTTACTAAGGACCACAAAGAGCTGTTATTTATAAAGAGAATACATATCAATAGTTACAGTTATTAGAAATTAAAATGAGCCCTAGCAGGTTTGGCTGAGGGGATAAAGCATCGGCCCAAAACTGAAGGGTCCCGGGTTCAATTCCAAGCAAGAGCATGTACCTCCACTGCAGGCTCAATCCCCGGTTGGGGTGGGTGCAGGAGGCAACCAATCAATGTGTCTCTCTCACATCGATGTTTCTCTTTCTCTGTCTCTCCCCTTCCCTTCCACTCTCTCTAAAAATCAATAGAAAAATATTATTGGGTGAAGATTAATTTTTTAAAAAAGAAATTAAAATGGGAATTTAAAAAATATTTACTTATTTAAACATTGCAGTAACAACCCCTTTTAATGTTAATATAGTTAACATGTTCATGAAAAATAACTCTTTTCCCAAATAACATTTAGTGAGAAGACGGATATTGTTTTACATTTTTGCAGGTTTCTTTAATATCTGGCTTAAAAGGAGACAGCTGGATTCTCATCTCCACTTCTGCATTCAGTCTGCTGGGAAATCACATTTCACACTGCTCCTTACTAAACTCCAGGATGCACTTGTGAGAGAAGGGTGTGAAAATGACAAATAACCTGAGTACTACTGTTGAAACAGCCTTGACCTCACACACCCTGAAAGGGTCTTGAGGAACCCCGGAGTCTCCAGCCACCCCTGGGGAAGCACTGCTCTGTAACGCTGCCTGCCGGGCAAATGAAAAGTGCATCCACATGAAACCTTCCTAGTGGCTCCGCAAACGCCGCTTCTTGCTCTTTTCCTCCATTCTTGTTCTTCTCCTGGCAACTGCGTATCTTCTAAGCCACCTTTTCCTTCCTCCGTGCCCTGAGGCAGCCTGTCGGGGCAGTGGTGAACCTCGAGACAGACTCTCACGAGCAATGAAAAGGGGCTATGTCTTAACCCTGGATGCCTCTCTCTACAGACCAAAGAGCAGAAACTACTAATTCCTAATTATTATTTCCTTCCAAGTAAAAGAACTGAAAAATCCTCACTCAGTTTCACCCAGGCTAAGAAACCTGGTATTGGGAAGTGACATTCCCATTTACGTGCCGTTAAAATAAATGTGTCATTAATAGCAGTATCCTAAAATACAGTCATATTGCACACCCAGAGGGAACCTTGGCTCCCTGGCTGGCATCCCTGCTCCAGTCACCAACCCTCCCCTGGTCTCTCATCCCCACCCCCAACAGGGATCCTCATTGCTGCCTCCAGACCATGCTCCCTCTCTCGGCCCTAAAACCCTGGAATCTCAAGTCATCTGAGATGACTGCAAACAACCAAGGCATTCATTCCCTTTCCTCCTTGAAGAGTTTGGCTCCTAGCTCACTGCGATTCTAACACCGCGCCTTCATTCTATTACTTCCAGGGCCCACTCTCAACACTCCTTAACGATTCTCCTCCCATGAGCTTGCTCTCCACCTACCTACCTCGGTCACTCACTCCTGTGGTCACCTCCTAGACATTATCACTGCCCATAACTGCAAACTCTCCATAATCTGATCTCCGAGCACCCACTCACCAGCTTCCTAGCTCAACACTACCCTGTCCCCAACAATCGTCTGCTCCCCACCCAGGGACCTACACTAAAGATCCAACTCATCTCCATGGCCCTCCAGATCTGACCTGACCCGATCTCTCCCTCTCTGCTCTCTGGCGTTGTCTCCCAACCCTCTTCCTCTCACTCACTGCCTTGAGTCCTGCTGATCTTTCTGCCATTGCTCAAACGCACCAAGTCCACTCCTGCCTCGGGGCCTCTGCACTTGCTCTCTCCTCTACCTGGATAGTCCTAGCCCTGGATATCCTAAGGCTACCCCTTCACCGCCTTCAAAGGTATCTTTGTTCAAAAGTATCTCTTTTCAAAAGTACCTTCCCAGTGAGGCCCTCTATAACCTCTCTGTTTAAAATTTCATTCATTCCCCTTCCTCCTTGAAGAGTTTGGCTCCCACCCATCCACTCACTCACCCACAGACACACCCCCTCCCCACTCGGGTTTTTTTCATGGCACCTATCTCTTTCTAGCATATCGTGTAACTTATGTATTATTTCATAGATAATCTGTTCCTCTGGCTAGGGTGAAGGCGAGATTTTTATCTGTTTTGCTCAGTGTTATATCCTTAGTATCTAGAACAGTACCCAACACAGTGACCCCTCAATAGATATTTTTCTGCATCAATGAAGGGAATTGGACAATGCAGATTTGAAACAATAAAAATAAAAAGGATTAAGTCATCTACATACACTTTTTGTTAGTAAATAATGAAAACATGAATATTTACCTTCTGAGTACCTATTATGTGCCAGGCACTGGGGACACAAAGGTCGGTGTTGCAGTGGAAACTAGCCAGCAGCCAATTACAAGACGATGTGGAAAGGGCGATGGTGGAAGTGTGCACGGACCTTGCTGACGCACAGGGAGAGCTCAGAGCAGACTGTGATGTCAGGACGAAGGGAGAGATTTGCCGCAAGATGGACTTGGGGCCTGTAAATCCAGTTTCTCAAAGTCTTTTTCTTTTTTTAAAATATATTTGTATTGATTTCGGAGAGGAGAGGAGAGGGAGAGAGGGATAGAAACATCAATGATGAAAGAGACTCGGTGATTAGCTGCTTCCAATCGAGCCCACAACCGGGGCATGTGCTCTGATTGGGAATCAAACCGTGACCTCCTGGTTCACAGGTCAACATTCAACCACTGAACCATGCTGGCTGGGCTCAAAGTCATGATTTTTTTAAAAAGACTTTTTGAAGATGAAAATGTGTCACAGGAAATTTACTCAGATCAGTTGTCAAACACACACACACATTTAGTTGAGGAGCAGAATATAACTTATGCTAAAGAATAAACAACGATTTTTGCATCTGAGTGAAGTATGAAGAGAGGCACTAAGATCACTGAGGGAAATTCTATGCTTCGTGGCTTACATTATCATCTTTCTAAGGGAAGGGAAGATAAGCTGCTACTACCAAGTTTGCAAAACATATTTGATGATTACAGTTCACTTTCTCTGGCATGAGGAAACAGTCTCCTGCTAACATTGGTAATATAACCTACATTATGCAATAAATAAACAAACTACATTACACACAACTGAAAACAGGTAGCCAAAGAATCCTATATGATAAAAGCCTAATATGCTAAATGTCCAGTCAGCTGTTCAATCAAAGCGTAATATGCGAATGATATGCTAAGGCCACTCAACCGCTCGCTATGACTTGCACTGGCCACCTGGGGGCAGACATTCCGACCAGTAGGTTAGCTTGCTGCTGGAGTCCAGCTGATCGGGACTGAGCGAAACAGGCTGGACACACCCTGGAGCCCTCCTGTGGTCCCTCCCCGGCCCCGATCATGCACCAGTCGGGTCCCTCAGCCTGGCCTGCACCCTCTCATAATCCGGGACCCCTTGGGTGTTGTCGGAGAGCCAGTTTCAGCCCAATCCCACAGGCCGGGCCAAGGGACCCCACTGGTGCACAAATTCGTGCATTAGGCCTCTAGTCTATCATAATTCAAAAGCAGCAGTCTGTCCCAATAGCACACAGAAGATATACTGTATTTTCTATTCAGGATACGATGATTATCCAGTCACTCTCTTCTATTCTGTATTGTACCAATCAATTTGCCCAAGATCCGGCTTGTAAGTTTAGACCCACTCTCCATAGATGGACCGTGGAGTGTCACCCTGTGCAGTATATAAGAAACTGGGCAAACAAGACCATCAAGAGCACCAATGTTGCTAAGGGTGTGAAAGGGCTCACAAAACAATCTCAGGCAATTGAACAGGAGAAAAACTTGTTGATTGGATAACCGTAAAGCAGTTAGTCAGTGCTAGCATTTCCGAGGCAGGGATAGATTAAAAATTCACTTAAGGCTAGTAAGGGGTAGTTTGATAAATTTAAGGAGTGCTTATTTGTAGGTTAAACAGTACATTAGGTATATACTGTACATAAAAAGGTTAAAACAGGGAATCCTTTGGGGGTCTGGAACAGATGAATTCAATTTACATTCTTTCTAATGGGAAAAAATGATTCGGCTTTCAAACAAACTGCTCCTCTAAGCCTTCCAGAACAAATTAAGTTTGAGAACCAAGGTTCCACTATAGTGCTGAAAGTGATTCGTTTAAGGCTAGCAGGGGGTGATTCGATGAATTTAAGAAAAGAAGTGCTTGTTTATAGACCAAACAGTACATTCGACATGTTTTGTATATAAGAAAGGTTAAAACAGGGAATCATTTTGGGGTCTAGAACAAATTAATTCAATTCATGTTATTTCTAATGGGGAAAAATGATTTGGCTTTCGAACAAATCACTTCTCGAACAGCCTTCCGGAATGAATTAAGTTCAAGAACTGAGGTTCCACTGTAAATAGAACAAGCAATAAAGAATGCCTAGCAATAGATACTTAATGAGTTTGAAGTGGCTCTTCTAATTAAGAAATCTAATAACTGTCACTAGTTAATGGCCACAAAAACACAATAAAATACACATTAAGGGGTATAAGTTTCAAGGAAAACAGTGACAACTTCTAAAATAAACTGTTAAAACAAACCAAAGGGTTTTAAGGTAAAATTTTCAAATCAGACAAATGTCTATTGTCATATTATAGACTTTTGGCTATGAACACTTCTACGAGTTTTTATACTGTTTTAAGCAAATTACAAATACCAACCGCAATATTAAGAAGAGTCTGTTAAAGAATGTCTTTATTAATACAAACTATTCATACATGCAAACTATAAAGCACTAAGAAACTTAAATCTCTAAGTCATAGCAAACCGGTGGCAATTCAACATCCAGAGTCGACAGAAGGCTTGAGGGAGACTGGAACGGATCTAGAAAATAGGAATTTCTTAGACAATACCTGCAAACTGCCTTGATTCATTGTCCATCTCAACATGGACATTAGTTATCACTTCTAATCATCCACTGTTTCTCCCTCTGTCCAGTGAATCTCTATGCCCACACCACCTACACACATATGCACTCATTTCCTGGAATGTGGCTGTGGTCCCAGAATTAACCAATATCAGGAAATGATTCTTAGAAGTTCCTGAAACTATTGTTCTTATTAGAGGTCCAAGTAAGAGCCAACAACATCACTAATGTAAATGTATGAAATAGTGTAAGTGTCTAAGTTAACACACAGAAAACGTACTGACAGCTTCTGACCACCAGTTTGAACCAAGACCGAAAACCTTGTGCAGTGAGGTTTTGCCATTCTATGTTATTGCACAGGTGTCTTGATCCTGAACGAGCGACTTGGAATTCTTATTCCAAGCAAGTTTATTATACTTCAACTTACAACCTAAGAAACTATATGCTAAGTTCAATCTTGTTTGGCTATATCTGAGGCTCTCGATTCCAGAGTGACTTGATTTTACCTGGGCATTTGGAACTAAACAGCAATATCAACTGAGAAGGGTTTTCATTATTCTGAAACTTGGCCCTGAAGTCTGAAGGACAGAAATGTTTTGTAGGCTAACCTCCCCCATAACTCTATCCCCACAGCAATGCAAGTGTCATGACACAAACTGTCTGCGGCCCTTCTAGGAGGGCCCTTGTCCACTCACCGGACTCCCAGGGTAGAGAGGGCGCCTTCAGGGGTGAAGGGGGACCCAGGTGTAACAGCTTTTCAAGTTTCCTCTCCTCGTCAAGGATCATGAGAGGCACTCCACTCAAGGGGAGCTGTGCGATCTGGTGTTCTTCAGGCAGGTCGAAGCTCTCAAAATCTGCCACAAAGAGAGAGGATTTCGTCAGGACAGCAATTCTCAGTATGGACAGTGGACTCCTGGGAATCTGAGGCCCTTTCAGCGAGTCCACGAGGTCAAAGCCACTTTTCTAATAACATGAACACCTTTCCCCCTTCTGTGCTGACACTTGCAATGATGGCACAAAATCAACGGTGGATATAAATCATTGTGCCTTAACATGGACAAGGCAGGGGCAAAGCCACTTTTCTAATAACATGAACACCTTTCCCCCACTGTGCTGACACTTGCAATGATGGCACAAAAGCAACGGCGGATAAAAATCACTGTGCCTTAGCATGGACAAGGCAGGGGCAAGACACTATATTTAGTAGTCACACTATTCCTCACTACCTTTCACCTGCAGTAAAAAGTGCCAGTTCCACATTTCACTTTATCATATGCATAAGAAGTATTAACCTTCTTAGCTCTCGATCTTTGAGAACATGTCTTTTTTATATTTTGTATGACAAAATGAGATGTATGTCAGGAAGCACCCTGCTGCCTACTGAAGTACAATGGTGATCTCAAAGAAAAAGGATTTGGGCAAATATTTGCTTTGCAAGCTAAACTAGAGGCCTTTTCCCGAACACCAGTTAGTTGAAAGAACACCTAAAAGACAAACTGGTTACTCAGAGCTGGGTGTTGGTTGCACATTTTCTCAGAGGAATGAAAGGAGTCTATCCCTTCGAGGAAAACAGTATTTGTTGCCAATGATTAAAATTCACAATTTCAAGAAAAAAAACAGGACTTTGAAAAACTTATCTGTGATCATTAGCTTGACAGCTTCCTCATACTTAAGATTTTTCTGATTCGATGAATGGTGATATTAATGAACGTGCTTTTAAAATTGCATAATGAAGCTGCCTTTGGATAATCTACATTTTTCAATAAACCAATATTCCTAGGTGAGCAATGTGTGATGAAGGTTAGGATAAAAGATACTTTGAAGTGCAAAACAGACCAATGGATTTTACTGTCAGAGTATAAAATGTTCATTGATATGGTTTTCGGTTTCGCATTGCATCTATATGTTCAGAAACAGCCACCAATTGAATTTTAGGGTAGTACCAAAGAAAACCATCTATACTGATCTGAAAAGACTATTTAAAATGCTTCTCCCTTTCCTAACTATTTATCTGCATGAGGCCAGATTTTCTTCATATACTGCAACCCAAACAGATGCAACAGATTGAATGCAAACATCAGATAAGAATCCGGCTATCTTATATTAAGCCAAATTAAGCAAATTTTCAAAATATAAAACCATGCCAGTCTTCTCAGTAAGTTTTTTTGTTTTGGAAAAGTTATTTTATGTTTTTTCAAGTTATTTATGCTAATAATAATAATAATAATAAAACTTTTTTCTGTTTTCTAAAAAGCTAAGAATGAAGAACCATCATTTTGTAAAGTGTAGAAAGGTCTCTAAAGCCTATATACTAGAAATTTGTCTGCTCCTTTTGAATCCTGGTAAAACCGGTCAAAAAGGAATTGAGTGATGGTGACTACTTAATTTAAAACCACTGAATTGTAAAGGAAACCATAACAGAAAAGATTCAAGAGGATACAAGTTTGCATTATAAAGAGCTAATTTCCTTTATCCACTAAGATCTCTTTTAAAATAGTAGTCACATCATCAAAGGCAAACAAAGATACAAACGGAAGTTAAAATAACTACAAAAGGCCAATTATCAAATATGCTCTCACTGAGGCACCCGCTCCCCCCACACACACAATTTTAAACAAAAAGATACCCATTGCCTTTCTGATCAAGATTAATGTTAAAACATTTGCAGTTAGAGAACACGGGGGAAGCAGGCATCCTCATCCACAGGAGGTGGGTTCGGTTACACATGCTCCTGTTTAAAGGACAAGTTGGCCGTGTCTCTTCCCTGAAACACAGCATACTGTAGTCCTCCTTCCTGGTCAATATGCCTAAATCTGCCTTATTTTCCTTGATGAATGAGTGGTAATTATTAGCATGGATACTGTCAGAATGTCATCACACACCCTTCGAGACTCAGCAAGCAATTCTTAAAAGTTTACTCACTGGGTAAACTCACAAACTCACAACAATGTAATTTCCAGAATACTAATTGTGGAATTGTTTTTAAGGTAGAAAAGCCAGAAACAATCAGGATATGTACCAGGAGAATGACTAACTGCCCTTTGAATGAAAGGGCAAAAAATCCAGCTGAGAAAGCAGAAGGCCCTGCTTGGTTGGCCCCCACTGCTTCACCTGTGTCGTCCTTCACTCTGCCTCTCCGTTCCCCAGAACCACTCCACTCCTTTCTTCCACCTCAGGATCTTTGCACACACTGTGTCCAAGGCTCTTGCCTTGCCCATCCCCTTCTTCATCCAGCTGTCTCCTTATAGCCTTTGTGAAAGCTTCCCTGCTGTTCCCCTAAAAGGCCGTATTTTTTGTTTGTTTGGTTTTTGGTTTTTGCTTGCTCACATTAATGTAATATGTTTATTATTTTTTAACCAAATAATAAAGGCCGTATTTTTTGTTTGTTTGTTTTTTGGTTTTTGCTTGCTCACACTCACAGTAAGATGATTTGTTCAGTGCTGAACTTTCCCTCAGAATCATGGGCTCCCTCAGGGCAGGGCCTGGCATACAGTAGCCCCTCCTCAAATGTGAGTAAATTAAAGCTAAACAAGCTAGTTCTATAACAGAAAATATTTCAGATATATGTAGAAGGTTGAAGGAGTAAAAAATTCATGTTTTCACTGGCATTGTTCAATTTGACATAAAGCCCCGTTTCTAACAGGCTTGCTAGAGCTGTCCACTGCAGACTTTTTCAAGGTTAGTGAACACATCTCCCCCCTAGGAGGTAAGCTCTTGAGGAAAGGAGAAAATGTTCTCCACATCTTTGCTCCAATTCCCCTTCTGACCTTAGAGGGTACCTTACAAATAAATCTACCAACAAGCATATTTGTTCAAAGCAAACCAGATTCAGACAGTCTGGTTATAGGTGTGGGTCGTGTATCATATTGATAGCCAACTGCAGACTTTTTCAAGGTTAGTGAACACATCTCCCCACTAGGTGGTAAGCTCTTGCGGACAGGGGGAAATGTTCTCCACATCCTTGCTCCAATTCCCCTTCTGACCTTTATTTAGAAATAAATCTACCAACAAGCATATTTGTTCAAAGCAACCCAGATTCAGACAGTCTGGTTATAGCGTTGGGTCGTGTATCATATTGATAGCCGTATCAAGTTGCAGCTGCATTGGATTCTAAGAGAAACTCTAGGCTAAAGAATTTTTGTAATACCAAAAGATACTACCGAGAGGATTGAAGGGAAAGAATTTTTCTATTTCTGGATAGGTGTCATCTGAGGCAGGAACAGATCCTTTTGCTTTAACAGTCTTCTCGGTTACCTAAAACAATCCAAGAAAACATGAGTTAGCGAGAGGGCTTCTTCAAGATGTGTGAGGGCTTCTTCACCACATTTTAAATTTTTTCATTTTCATGCTGACTTCTAAGAACCATAATCCTTTTGATTATGTTCTCATGATTACACACAAATACAATTCAACAATTCTAGTAGCATGGCTCAACCGTTAAGTTTGAGATTTAAGTCAGCCTAAGTCATCAAGAATGCGCAGCGCTGGTAATTAACTCAATCACTCAACCCACCAGAGAAGGAAAGGGGCCTGAGTCAGCCGGAATAGAAGCTAATCCTAAAAGCCATTTTTGGCTTTTGGAAGTGTGATTTTCCATGTTTCCATCAGCCTTATCTTAATTAGTTGTTTTTTCCTAATACACATTAAACAAAACAATTATCCAAATAAAGTGTTCATCCACACACCCAAGTCATTTTCTCAGCCAAGTTCTCTCAGTCTGGGATGCACTGACCTGCAGCTCTAGCTCATCACAAACACAAAGGTCAGCATGCTAGCAAATTATCATCATCACCTAAGGAGCTGGTCCTGGGAGGTGGGGAGGAGGACAGCGGCACCTGAGCTATATTAATGTGACCTCTTGCAAAGTAGCTCCCTCTCAGTACTTACATGTGTAAGTAGATATAGACATTCCTCATTTTATCACCGTTTGCTTTATTGCACTTCATACTGTTTTGGTGGACTTTCCAAAATGTTGCTTTTTTTTTAATTTTTATTTTTAACAAACTGAAGGTGAGACCCACCCCCATTAAAACGATGACTCGTTTTACGGTGCTACTTGCTTTATTATGGTGGCCTGGAACCCAATTATTATTTTTTTTAATTCTTTATTGTTCAAAGTTTTACGAATGTCTCCTTTTTCTCCCATTGACCTCTCTCCCCACCCGCTCCCGCCCCTGGAACCCAATCCTTGATCTCTCTGAGGTATGCCTGTACTACCAACAAATCTGCTTCACGATATTAGTTACGGGCAGGTGAGGCAAAAATATTCACCTGCTGCTGCAGGCTGCTGATCTCAAGGCACAGAGGAAGTCCACCAAAACAGTGTGATTCTCTTCTGCCAATCTGTTTGCCAGCCTCTATTTAACCTACTCACTGGGAAGAAAGCCAGAGAGGATGCCAATCGTCATTTTAAGAGCCAAAAGTGCTGACGTGTTTAAACAGTGTCATTATAGACAGCACTTACCGTTTTAGCAGAGAAGGTGGTCTGTTTCTCTTTGACAGGTGCATTAGTCTTTACTGACTTTTCTGTAGCTCTGTTGACAGTTCCCAAAGCCTTTCTGGGAGCCTTACGCAAGGCTGGAGGAGCATCAAACATTTTGCCAGCATGTGGTGCTGAAACCTGAGATCTCCCATCTAACGCTTTGACTGCTAGAATAAAAATTTTTTTAAAAAAAAGACCATAAGATTATTCAAGCAATACATTATCTGTGCAACTAGAAGGCTGTGTATAAATTTGGCCTAATTCTCACCGAAAACTCAACCCCCATTTTTGACAGTGGCATGGCCATTGTCAATCTCATTCCATTATTGAACATGAAAAAGAGACTCATAACAAGCATGTTGTGACAGGAGCACAGGCGTACCCCTGAGATATTGCGGGTTCGGTTGCAAATCAAAGCAATAAAGCAGGTACCGCAATAAAGTGAGGCATAAGCCTTTTGCTGGTAGGAGAGTCTTGCCTTCCATTTGTAAAAAGTGCAACATCTGAGAAGTGCAATAAATAAAAGGAGGTATCTATGCCTGTATTCGGCAAACTTGACTCCCGTTGCCTACGCGGTACACTTGCGCCTCCCTAACGCCTCCCTAGGCGCAGGCCACATTGGTCCACAATCCCTGCGTGTGACCGCAGCCTGTATACTTACAGGGCCGGGAGCCCAGCTTCGGCCGGTCCTTGGGAGTCGCACGAGTGCCCAGTTCTCCATTTTCCTTATCCACAAAGATCACAGTAGCCATTCTGAATTAACTAGGGGAGTGAAAGGCATATTAAACCCTGGGGGTTAGGGAAGACGAGAGAACCTAAGGGGTAGCACCGACCAAACTCTCCACGCGGGGCACGTCCACGCAAAAACGGCAAGAGCTGGGCACAGGGAGAAGCGCGAGCGTGAGCCAACGGGCACGAAATCCAGCTCTTAACTCTTCAAGGCCGCGTAAGAGCCTCTAAATTCCAGAAGAGCTGGCGGTTTGGGGCCGGCAGGAACCCTGGTTCTCAGAAGAACCGAACCGTGAAGGGTCGCCGTGCAGTCAAGGCAGACAACCCGGCTGGGCGCTATAGACGACCCCTGGG